AGGAAGGAAGGAAGGAAGGAAGGAAGGAAGGAAGGAAGGAAGGAAGGAAGGAAGGAAGGATGAACAGGATGCAGGCCTATAGATCGGTTGGCTGGTGGCCAGGTGGCATCTGGACAAAGTGAGGGGTCGCTACGGAGGACAATCAGGATGATACAACTACGTGGTCCCAATTAAAGATGGGAAGATGACCGGAGGCCTCTGGGCCACAGACTCTTCTACACAGAGATGCCAATCTCCAAGCAACTCCTTGTATGTCTCCTCCTGACACAACGACTTGCATCCACCTACACCTGGTTTTTCCATCTGCTACAAGCTCTTCCTCACCCAAAGCCTTCAAGCAGAGCATTCTGCATTGGAGGTTGGTTTGGCCTGGTGGTTAAGGCAGTAGGCTAGAAAGTGGGACATAGTGAGTTCTAGCCCCGCCTTAGGCATGAAAACCACTTGGATGACTTTGGGCTGATCACCAGGAGACCGTGAGTTCTAGTCCTGCATTAGGCATGAAAACCAACTAGGTGACTTTGGGCCAATCATCTGCATAATGTGAGTTCTAGTCCCACCTTTGGCATGAAAGCTGGCCAGGTGATTTTGGGCCAATCAGCAGGAGACAGTGAGTTCTAGTCCCGCTTTAGGCATGAAAACCAGCTCTTTGGGCCAATCATCTGCATAATGTGAGTTCTAGTCCCACCTTAGGCATGGAAGCCAACTGGATAACTGGGCCGATCACCAGGAGACGGCGAGTTCTAGTCCCACTTTAGTCATAAAAGCTGGGTGATTTTGGGAATCACCAGGAAAAGCCCACTGGGTGACTTTAGGCCCAATCACCAGGAGAGAGTGAGTTCTAGTCCTGCCTTAGACATGCAGGACACTGGATGACTTCGGACCAGTCCCTTTCTCTCGGCCCAACCCGCTTCACAAGGTTGTTTTTGTGGGGAAAATAGAAGGACGAAAATATGTCGGATATGTTTACCCCCTTGAATTATTTGTCAAAATAATAAAGGCAGGATACAAAAACCAACAGAGAATTAAATTGTGTTTGAAGGAAAGGAGATCGCCTACCAGGTCTGAGCCATGGGACAAGGTGGCTGTGGGGGAGGCCTGGAATTTTGAGGCTGAAAGCCACAAAAAGGACTACAATCTTTGAGATAAATCAAACAAGGCAATTGAACAGGAGGTGTCTTCAGGTCCAAAAAGCCAAGACGGTGAGAGGAAAACTCCACCTGATTTTAATCCGTGTGGCACATCTTGAAAATTAGTACCTGCTCTGACCTGGGCTTCCCAAGATCATGAAGCCGATTCCTTATCCCGATAAAACCCCTTTTATTTAGGTTCAAGGGAATTCCTCTTCAGCAAAGTCCCAGCAAACAGTCCTCCATGAGATTTCACAACTACAGACAATGATCAGGCTGGGAGAGTTGCCAGGCCAAAAGCTTCCAAACGCCATGCTGTAGCAGCAATCAGGAACAGATCTTCACCCTCATGAATTGAACTAATTGTCTCTTGCAAACCCCACTCCCCTTTCGCTCCTCTTTATTCCCTATGGGAGGGGCCATTCACCTGAGCCTTTACTCCCAAGTCGACCCTTATTCCTTAGTTATTCCCTTCTCCTGGCAGCTCTGTGCATGCACAAACTGGGAACAGGCTCCAGCTGTTCTTCTTCCCCACAGATCTCCGACTCCAAAGGCAGCTGATAACTGTCAGACGGCCCTATCTTCACCTCTGCCTCTGATGCAGAACCCTCGTCAGAACCTCCCCCAGACTCCAGGACTGGCCCAGGTTCCCCTCCAACCTCCTCACTGTCCAAGTTTGCGGCCAGTTCCGCTGGCGGACCACAACAATATCAAGGTAGAATCTCAATCACACCATGCCAGCTGCCATCTTGACTTTTTTGGACTACCTCACATGGACGCTTCTTGTCGTCAAAACCCAAGGAGAAATGTTTGCCCCCCTGAGACACCTCCCCAAATGTAGAAAAGGCAGGAGAAGAGGATACCTGGAAGAACTGCACCCATTCCCTGTGGTTGTAGGGGAAGTGACCATCAAAGGCCTGGGTCAGCTGGCTATTGTCCACGTGGCGGGTCAAAGCTTTCGGAGAAGTCACGGTCTCCACCTGCAGGTAAGACATGGAGAGATGGTCAACCTCAGCTTGGAGAAACAGTTACACAGCTCAACCCACCTCGCAAATGTCAGCATTCCTGTTCTGACCCAAACTGTTCCAAGGAAACAAACACAAAATGGAGGTAACAGCAAAATCTTTTAATGATTCTTTACGAATTCTGTTCCTTCCCGGTTAAAAGGCTGTTTCAAAGTAAGAAATAAGAAAGAGCCTTGCCAAGGTGGTGCAAGGCTGCCAAGAACAACAGATAAAGTTGCCAAGAAATATTTGAAACACAAAGAGTCTCCAAACACCAACCAAGAGAGTACAAGCTTTTACAAGGCTTGAGTGCAAAAACGTCTTTGCTTCCTGCAAAGGACTCCGGTTTCTCAGCTGGCTTTTATCTCCTCAGGGAGGGGCCATTACCTTGAAGCCTTACTCCCGAGTCGCCCGTGCTGCTGCAGCTGCTTTTTCCTTCAAGTAGCCCTGCGCACACATGCGCTGGGCACAGGCTCCTCGGGGGCCTCTTCCTCACTGCTGCCAGCCCCCACAATCTCCAAAGGCAGCATTCCACCGCGTGGTGTTCCTGGCCCCATCCCTGCGTCACACGCAGGCCCCTCACCTGAGTCCTCGCTCTCCGAGACCTCAGCCATCTACACCTGCTGCCGGCGAACCACAACAGTCCCAACTCACCAACTCCAAAGCCATAAACTCCGAGACAGGCATTTCCTCAAAGTCCCATTTTGTAGAGTTGTCCTATTGGCACATTCTGGGAAAACCCGAATCGGAGAGTTCTGGGTTTTCCCTTCCCAAAAGAGAAATCAAAGATCCATATCCCCTGCACCACCAGTCCATCCCATGGCCCCTCAAATCTTCGGCCCCCCACTGGAGACATCCCCCCTCCAGCCACTCCCCACCAGGTGCAGGGCAACCTGTCCTTGACTCTGATTCTAAACCTTTGCAGCATTTATGTTTTATTGAATTATTGAATTTTTATCCTTTGAACATTGTTTATACATAACTCAAGGCGGCAGATATACCCGACATTGTTTCCTCCTCTTCTTTTCCCTGTAACAACAGCCCGGCTGTCAGCCTTGGAAGCCATTTTTTTACTTGGAAGCTTTGAGGCTGTCTAACCTAAGCAGGGGGTTGGACTAGAAGACCTCCAAGGTCCCTTCCAACTCTGTTATTCTATTCTATTCTATTCTATTCTATTCTATTCTATTCTATTCTATTCCTATTATCTATTCTATTCTATTCTATTCCTATTATCTATTCTATTCCATTCCATTCCATTCCATTCCATTCCATTCCATTCCATTCCATTCCATTCTATTCTATTCTATTCTTTATTCCATTATCTATGCTATGCTATGCTATTCTATTCCTGTATTTCATTTCTATTCTATTCTATTCTGTTCTGTTCTGTTCTATTTTATTCTATTCTAATTCTGTTCTGTTCTGTTCTGTTCT